TTTGAAGACCATGAAGAGTATGACTTTCACAGCCTCATACCGGTAGCTCCAGATTGGATCAAATGGAAGAGACTGTTCCCCATTTGCTCGAAGTCTGACGTGTTTCACTTTTTTTGTATTCATAAAATACATGTACTGCGTTGACTTCAGGTTGCGTTCTTTGTCCCAAGTCATTATGACGGCGTTAGTTTTTATATCCCAACGTCGCTCGAAACGTTGCTTAAAACCGGACACACAATATGAACCGTATGATTGTACCAATTTGCATACGTTATTGCACGGATCCAGAAATATACTACCAGCATTTGACGGCAGTCTGCCCTTTTTTCTACTTCGTGTCAATGTAAGAATGATATCGCAGCAAGGATGTGGGTAAAGCTTAGCACGTTGTGAAATTGGAGGCGTGATGCCTTGCCTAATTTTCAATTCTGCTGGGTGCCTTTAAAAATATTCTCTGCTTTGTTTGTTTGTTGTTTGTTTGTAGGGTTTTATTTTTTTTTACTTTCGTATGCCATGAACGAATCTCCATGGCGTGCGGTGTTTTTTTTCTGAAGTATACCGGTCTATGAGTCAGAAAAAGCCGATTATACAATGTGCACCAATGTAGTGGAGATTACTAGTCGATAGTACGGATCCATCCGAACCACGCGCGTAGCGGATTAATCACTATACCCTTAGTGACATTGTCTACTTCCAAATATCTACCGACAGCCCTCCCTTCAGGTTAACCGTGCCCGGTAACCTGCACCCCTTGGGTCTGCCCCGCGTACCCGCAACTAGACCGCCGTTGTCTCGCCTCCATTCAAGTATCAAAGTGATTTCCCAAACGACTTCAATTGTTGAGGTTTTGGGGGGCTATTTTGTGTTATTTTTACATTCGCCAATTGCAGCTGCAGTGGTTGATCGTAGTGGCCGGTGTAGCTTTGCACAAATGGCACAAAATAGTGAGCATTTGTGATCTTGTAGTCTTCTTGTATCGTTTTTCCACCTTTTGCGGACTACTGTTCAAAAATACCGACCTCTAGAATGCGTACAAAGGAAATGTTGTAGTGCGGGTTTTTCTTTTCGTGACATTTTTAATGTAAGTTCGGGGCTAGTGTTCGGACAAATTTAATCTGTACAGTACATTTGACTCTCGGAGGTTGTGTGATTGTCAATACACAACGTAGGTCGATTTCAGTTTAGCAAATATGCGCATGACCCTTTATTTTTATTTATTTATTTCTTTACTTTTCTGTTTTGAGCAAACAGTCATGTCAGTCAACGAACACACAGCCGTTGAGACGTCTACATAATCGATTTGTATACAGTCGCAGTAAGAAACTACAGCGTATTTTGAAGAGTTCCCAATTCAAACTGTGAAGGAGCGAGAATCATCGACCGGGGTCGATCAATCTTTAAAACAGATAGAAAGCACAGCACTGAAACGACTTGGAAGCCTAGCAAGGACTCCTTCGATATTTCAATCAGGTATCTTACAGAGTTCACCGTGTGTTTAGCTTTACGACGTGCGGAATCTGTATAACAGTTTGCGGTATGGGGCGGACGCGGGAATGAGGTCTTGTAACCGATAATCGGAGATTAACACGTGTGTCACGCCAACATTGGCTAGCAGATTCTTTTACCGATCTCTTCGAAGACAGAGCTCACAATTCGAAGCAAGATCAGTTCGACTCGGGGAAACCCACTTGTGTCGTGAAACTTCACGCTCTGTGTCCTCGCGTGGGATTATGTCCACAATTGGAATTCGTGGATGACGGGCGGCCTTGGGCCCCGAACAACGTCTCTGATTAAAATATCCCCACTGAGCAGGATGCGGCTGGGATGCACCATCGCATCAAGTGGGTCACGGAATTGAATTAGGTATTCCTTCTACGAAATGGAAACATAAACTGGCTTAAGTTTGTTTTAAAGGGGGTGGGTAATTGCCTTGACTAATTGGCACATATTTCCAATTTACACATAGGCCTACACAATTGAATGTGGACTTTTCTCCTATCTATTATTCCGTATCGTATTTGAAAATTCAGTTTCGAGTACCCAGCAATTCAAGAGATGGTGGTGATCCGGGATGCTCTGGGTGGACGGTGATTAACCCGTCCGGTCGAGGCGGATGCCCTTCCCCGTGTTAATCGTAACGGCGTAGAAATTGAATTGATTCCAACAAGGTCTGTGCCTATTTGTAGTCCGCAGCCCGTGTATCGAGAGAGAGAAGAAGGGAGCCGTTTACCGTGGGAGCGACAGAGCAGGGGACCGGGAGCGGGCTGCTGGCGATTCCTTTGTGCGTTGGACCCACGTTTCACACCGTGGGCCCTGGCGGTCCGGTCTGGGACCAGGAGTAAAGCCAAAAAGCGGCCGCTTTTTGGCGCGCAAGGCGGGGCTGCACGACAAAATTGAAAACCTAGACGAGATGATCGATGCAGCTCAAAACGAAAATTCTATGCCCGCAATAATTGCGAATCCCTATTTGGAGCTCAGCTCAATGGTGGAATCTTTCTCAATTATGTTGTTGGGTAAATTTGCCACTTTTCTGTTCAGAGCAGGTGGCGATAAAATTATACACACCCTGGCAGGCTAGTGCTTAGCTAACATTAATGATATGTTTAGAGTGTTAGCCCATATACGCCCAGGCTGCGTGCCGCAAGTTGACACGACTTGGCGTAAACAGGTTGGGCGGTTTTTCAGGTTCTTCCATGGATTTTGCAAGGGAGAGAAAAAAAACCACAGAAGCAGCTAAGTGTTATGATGGATTGCTATTGTATACCCAGTGCGCCTCTCGCTTGAAAAAGCTTGTTCAAAAAAAAAAAACTGTTCACTGGCTGCGCTAGCACGCGGGGGGCAAGATCAACCGCGTGACAAAGCTATGCAGCGACCGAATTAATGCTTGCTCAGTATTCATCGTGCTGCCCTGTGAAGTTTTTTGGGCACCACTGGCAGATTTCCCCTCGCATGCAGACAAAGAGAAAGTTATCGAAATGTGGTTTACGGTAGACTTCATCCCTAGAACTATCTCAAATTACGGTTTTCGACATCGTGTCTGTCCGGCAACTTTACCCGGGAATTCGGTGTACGATAAAATGAATAAAATCGGCTCTTTCTTCCAGGGAGGAAAAATTGCAGAGTTATATTATGCACGTCTTCAATTTATAATCGCACGAGCCGGAAAAAAACAACAATAATAATCGGGATATTATTGCAAAGCGATTTGAAGCACTGGGGTGATATATTGGACGGAGGATCGATTGGGGGAAAATCAAGTTGAGCGAGAGGCGGGTACTTCCTCTCGATGATGACTGTAACCCACAGCTAGCTCTTCGATCAAACGGGTGATTTCTGAGTTTGTATGGTGTGTGGGGGGTGTGTATGTGGGGGGGGGGTTCCCGTCACTTTTAAAACCCATCGGTTGTGAATACACATTTGAACTGGACAGGTTGCTACCAACGCGAGGCCTGGAGGCCTGTCATTGCTCCTCAGAGCCTATTAGCGTTGTTCTATAGTTGCTCGCCAATCATCATATTTTCAGCCTGGCGTAGTCTCGCAGGTTTGTGTCAGACCCCTGCACACTGTTCGATCCCTGTCCCTCCCCCCTCGCCTGATGGAGTTGACGGGTGAACGAATGTACCGTTGATAGCACCGAAACCCAAGCTCACCGTGGCCCAACCCGCCCCGTCCCCCTAAACATTGCCCGCCGAGAATAGCAGGCACAGCAAGGCAGGCCCCTCATGCACGCTGAGCGTCTAGACTCCTCGTTGAACACGTGTGACCGAGGTGAGGGGGCCCGTTTCGCCTATGTCGCTACGAATTGACACAGTTTGGACAGCGGGAGAGCTTCGAGACATCCCCTGAGGCCATGCCTCCCAGACGGGAATTATGCAGATGGCTCAGAACCGACGGGGGCTTTCTCTCTCCCTTTATGTCGGAAAGTGAAGTTTAATTCACAACGAAATTGATGTGTTTAATTCTTTCGTGCGCACCGCGTACACACAGCGTGAACTCCTTTGGCTATATTTAAACAAAACATTGTGGACTTTTTTGATGCATATTCGATTTGATTGAGCGGATTAGAACAGTTGTATGCTTTAATAGAATATGACCCTGACAGTAATGGCAATGTCGTTTGTCAAAATCCAGTAAAAATGATGCATACACGTTTTCTGGATGATGGTTACACTATGTGACGAATCACCCCCCCCCCAAGAAAAAAAAGTGAAGTCCATTTTGGAAAGGTCTGCTCACTCGGTAACTTTGCTTTCGGTTTACTTGGTCAGACTTGTAACGAGAGCAGAGTCTGGATGGCGGTATTCTTTTAAGGTTTTAGGTTGTTATTTTTGCTGCCAACGGTAAAACAAATCGATAGAAAAGCAACCTGCGGATAACAGCGGTCGTCAGTAACCCAAATTCTTAGATTTTAACAAAGGGTGTTTTGTGTTGAGGGTAACCCATTGATTTAACATAAAGAAAGCACATCGATAAAACGCTGCCTGTCATTATACAGCATACTGCCGGGCAAAATGGCAAATATTGTCACATTGTCACGATAGAGCAATTCCGTACCCACGTTGGCATGCAGATCCGAATAATGCATGAGATTTTTCATCCGCATATTCGAAATTTGCCCTTTGCCATCGAGAACTCCGACCCTTCATCCGCCAGATGAGACGGCCGGGCCACTCCGGGCCACCGCAACGACGAACACCGCCGATCTCCGTCGAACGTTTGAGCGCGGGATTTTGTCATAAGTCGGTACATCTTTTGGACGGTTACGGCCTACAGTGGTGCGATATTTGTAATTGGCAGTTTGCAAAATATACGACTCTCAAATCAAATAATGTTGAGACGGCTATGAAAATGCCCGAGACCATATGTCATCATTCGTTGTGGCGTTGTTTTTAGCATTTACATTTATTAAGTTGAATATGAATATCCATGACTTCTGCAAATACAAATGGACCAGATTAATGCACTCATTTCCTCTGTATTGTCTGACAATTCCAACTTACCTAACTCTGGTTTCCCCAGCCCTCGACACCACGAGAATCTTATTCCTTTAAAAGTGAGCGTTACGCCAGTATAGAGTCCTGATTCCGTACGCGATGACGACGTTTATATAAGTAATGCGGCTGATTACTGGATGTGAACCACAAGGCAACTCGACTCAACAGCAAGGAGCGAGCACAAGCGGGAACACTCGCGGGGTACTTCGAACAAGACACCTAGGGTCTAACGCAACCGGCACGGTACCCAGATAGATACTCACCCGGCTCGAAAAATGCGGACTACCTATACACACAATTTCTGCCCAAGACGAGAACTGTATTCTGTGATTATCATATTTTTTTATGATTACGTATGTTGTATTACCAATATGGGTTGTTTGACACTGTTTGGTCGTTTATAGTTGTAGAATTGGCTGGTATGCCAGTATAACAGTGCCTGACGCCCTTTTTTTGGTATCTTTCACAGCAATAAACCAACCCGTCAAATTCACCAAATACCAGCCGTTTTTTTTCACAGGTTTACAGGGTTAAATCCCTACATGCGTTTTTGTGAAAATATCTGCATACAATTAACCGAATCGATGTACACGGCTTACCTGAAATATATCTATATATATATCTGGCGTGTGGGAGATCGAATTCGACTAAGTTCTGAGGTGAAATGTGAAGCGTTCCGATGATCCGGTAATTACCCAGAAGAAAACTTGGCTTGCCCGGGGTGGAAGCAACCTACTCTCAAAGTCGTGCTACTGAGAATGCGAGAGAAAGTGAGAAAGCGTCTTTCATAAAAAAAATGGAGGCATCAAAAACGAAGTACTACCAGCAACAATTGGACAAACATAATGCTCTGAAAAGAAAAACGCATTTTGTGCTATCGCTCAGCAAACAACCAACCCGTATATGTATCTTGCTGTCCTATAGCCGCACTGTGCGCGGCAATTAAATTTTATGGGAACTTTTCAGCATTAATATGCAAATTTAGTACCTTGTCCCGTTGAAGCAATATGGTTGCCATTGGGCAGCTACAATGCTCAGAAGGAAGCTTTTGGCGCACATAAATTATACTTCTCTTGTTCTAAAATTTGCATACAGTAAATTTTACCCTGCGTTGCATTGACCAAGAGCCCATGTGACGGGTACGAGTGTGCATTATGCAGCACAGAACAGATGCATCCATTCGTAAGTTTATTAGAAATTCAAAGTTTTTTTTTTTCGAGGCTCGTTTATCTCTCCCGCCATCGAAACGTTGTCAAAACGAACAAGTCCTCCACGGCAGGCTTCCACCACATTTTACTCGTGCAGTTGATTATCGTACGTGCTACTGTCAATTCCAAGCACGTTTGAAGGGACGGGTCGTTGGGTCCCTTTCATGCAATTTACCTTTCAGCTAGATTTGGACGTGGGCAACGTTTTCAAAAGGTTGGTGTAAAGGCTGACTGGCGTTCATTATGTGGAACAAAACTCGCTAAGGATCCCGTGTCAAAATAACCCCATTGTTCTCTTACGTTTCCCTCATGTGTGACATAGTTGTTGAAAAGGCAACATCACTGATCATGTCGCCAAAACATTCTATAAATAGTAGTTCTAACGCTATCAAGTAATCTCCAACCATATGCCTCCTGCAAGTTCATGTTGATAGATATCCTCGGACCATCCTCTCGTTTCATTTTATTTAAAGATCTTTTTTTTTCAGATGTCGTAAATGCCAATGCCTGTTTCCAATTTCATGAGAACAATGACATCATAGTCTAAAGATGCATCAAAAGTTGCCATTTTTTTCATTTAAATTTTAACTGAGTCCAGTTTTCAGTTTTTGTTGTTCAACTGTCGATGAAATATGTGGCAGTCAGTGAGCCAACTTTATTTATCAGTACCCTTTTTTACTGTCAGAAAATCTGTTAAAATCCCCAGAGGTCATAAATATATTCGGGCTCGTTCATTCCGACATTTTAATGATGATTCCTTTAACTATTATCCTAAACATCAACCATGGGACAGGCTGGGATTTTCCTCTAATCCCACTACAGCATGGAACATTTTTAAGGACGTTGCTAATGAGTGTTTGTGATATTTATAGCCCAGTCAGAAGTCTGAGAGTCTGTACTATAAATGCTGAATGGATCAATGATGAATACTTAGATCTTGAACGTAAATCTATGAGAGCCAAACATCTTGCCAGTATTGTTAGAAATGATGAGCTTCATGGAACACTTCACTTATCTTCTATGTAATATAAACAGAACCCCAAGTAGCATTGCTTGTCGAGCGGAGGATCCATAGACACTTGTGACAACACAAGAATTACAAACATTATTACTAGTTAACTGGGACGGCAAAGGTTCTTCGAAATAAACTGAATAATCTGGGTGTGAAACTGAAACGACAACATATCAATAAAATTTGTTTGATAATAAAGGATATACCAAAGAAATTTGGACCACCCTTAAAAATCTGATTCCGAGTAAAAAAAGTTTGTAACTTTGGGCATATCAGAGATGATCAATTGTGATGTTGCAAATAATAAACACTTTGGCAGTGTGGGTCAAATCATGATAATCAGTTTGATGCCATGCCCGAAACTGACTTGGTTTGGAATGATAACAATTTGATCAATGAACCAAATTTGAAATTGTACCCAGTTACTCCTGGTGAAGTATTAGAGCTCCTCCGTAAATTACCTTCTGGGTCATTCCATGTCAGACCAACACACCTTGTGGCCAGCTGCGGTCCTCAAACTTCATTGGAAAATAAAAGCAAGCGGTTTAGCAAGGACATCAGCACCAGATTTTAAGAACCGGCCATGAATCCCATCCATACCCAGATTTCCCAGTTCTGGGTCATTTCATGTCAGACCAACACACCTTTTGACCTTAGGTCTTCAGATTTTTATAACAATTGCTGTGATTGTAGACACCAATGAAAAATAAATACATGCCAATTTTTAGAGGAATCCACCCTTCCATGTGGTCAGGGCAGATGTCCAAAAAATGGACAGTTTTAACTTAAAAATCTGCCTTTTTAGTAAAAATGAAACTTAACTTTCAAAATTTTCATCGAATATTTACCAGGTTGGTATCAAAATAATCGGAAATACATGCTCTTTTCACTGATAATGTGAAAATTTGGTTTTATGAATCAAGGGTCATGATGACCTTTGACACATACCTGTGACCTTTGACCCATCTTTTAAAAAAAGTGCCATTAATTTTTTTTTTTAACAAAATGTTTTTGAAAGTTTGGTTCCTTCTCTAGTTGTATCCACTTAAATATTTCTGGGCACTAAAAAAACAAAAAAGTTATGGCCATTTTTCTGTAGCCTGTCAGCTTAGAAAATGTAAATTTTGTATGTAGCCCAAACAGAAGAGTTTGTACCATTCTGTACCTTGAAATGAAACCAATGAAGCTGCTAGAGGTTTGATAAAGAGCAATCTCACACAAGGCTTCATTTCATTCGGGGAGCCTGTATTAGGAACAAACTGAGGCTAATATTTTGGGAACTCAGTGAGGAATTGTTTCTTTGTGTTGACTGGACAAAGTATTATAAAGCGCCAAACTACTTACCAAACTACTTGTCCTTGAACATTGCACAATCACGTTGGAATACAGTAAGTCAACAGTGTGAGTCTTTCTAAGTGACATATTGAGCAGTGTGAAAGGATTTGGTGTTGTGCAGAAACCTTCATGAGTAAAGCAGTAAACTCTTGTGGATTTCAGGTGGGCAACTAGAGGATTTTTGGTGGATATCCAAGATTTATCCTTTGTTTGGACGTATGGTACTGTAGGATAAAACAATGGTCCAGTGGTCAGTTTGAAAATACCTCAATGAGGTGTGTTCTGATGAAACCGAACATTACAACCCAAGTGATGATGAATTACAGTGTTTACGTCTCAGATCAGGTTTTGAAACATTAAGCAGCATCTGCAATTTACATTACCAACGACTTGCAAAGTTTTATTCTGCTAATCAGCGGAGGTGTTGTGATCCCCTCCAAGTACATGCGGGCAAAGTACATTCCAAAGAGTTAAGAGCAATTGAAGCAGTCCCAAACATATCAACCTCTTGGTCTTATATCAGCAAAGATGCTCTGTCGCAATTGTCGTTTGTCAGTGCTAAGCTTGCCCGTACCACAAGCCGCTTCTGAACCTCAAACATCTTCAAGTTCTGATCCATCAGCTATTGATGAACCATCAACTAGTCAAGCCTATCCATCACAAATCAAGCTCTTGAGACCACTGGTGTAACTCCAATCACACGCAAAAAACTTGGGCAGAAGAAGTACCAACAGAGCAGGCTGAAAGCCATTGGAAGCCATCTGCAGTCAGAGCTTGGTATAGAACAGGTACCACAGCCGACAGCCTCAGAGGAAATGTTGGAACAGTTGAAATAAGATTTGCTACAGCTACCGACAGCGAGAAATTTCAGATTCTCACACTCGTACCGAAAAGCTGGAGAGTATTCGCAAAATAATGTTGTAATGATTTCATGTGGAATAGAATCGTGTTCATCTTCCTGGCAAAAGAGAGCCAATTAGGCCTAGTTCTATTGAAACAGGACTCCGGTGTACTTATCCAAAGAGTCAACACATGGCTGGAGCTGTCAAGTTTGTCACCATGAATGTTCCTGCTTGATAGTTATCTCCCACTTTCGAATATCCTACAAAAACCTACTCGCTGAAATTACTTGTAATCCTGGCTCTACAGACTGCTTCCTAGGAGACTGCCTCATGTCCTCAGGTTGATGACCTGAAGCAGCATATCATTGAAGAAACAAAAAATGAGTCTATTGATGAAATATGCTACAAGCAGTGGATATCAACAGACAGGTCAACATTGGAAACCATGACGGCTGGAGTTCATGAATTCTGTGATGGGTTTTTAGAGAAGCTGTTTCGGTTGAAGTGACATGAGTTCATAGCGGATCAGCAGGAAAAATTCCTAGGTCATCTGAAGTCAGAGTTGCAACGTAGTGAGATTATTGTTCTCAGCGATTTTCCAGAAAATTATGCATCATTTGTTCAAGATTCATCACAGGGCTTTCACTGGACAAATGAACAAGCAACACTCCATCCATTTGTAATCTACATTGTACATAAGAGACAGCCAGCTTTCCCATTTCAACTTTGTTATAATTTCAAATCACTTCACTCATGATACCAACACAGTCTACTGTTTCCAGTGAAGGCTGCATAATTACCTTGAAGACACAATGAAAGCACCAGTCCACAAAGTGTACTACTTCTCTGAGAGATCCTCTGCATCAAATGATTTTCATCTGATGCTGAGTGCTTTGCCACGTCTCATGGCAAAGGACCTTGTGATGGATTGGGTGGAA